GGTATAGGTATGGTTCTGGGAAAGCTTCCTGGAAACACCACAGAGAGAACACATCTCGCAAATGAAAAGGCAGATGACAATATAGAAACAAACCAGACTTCCAATGGCAGTGGCATTTCTTATCTTCAAATAGGGCCGTACATAGCCACACAGTCCTATCCCAAATCACCGTCTTGAAGCTGCTCCAGTGTTCCCTAAGAGAGACAGACCTATTGGTTGTCCTAGCCCATCCTCCATGCAGCTGCTGCGGACCCTGGTGCTGCTTTGCTCACTTTCCAGAACCTTGATGTTGTTTACATCTCAAGTATGGCGATTCAGAACAGTTTCTACACTGTGGTTAAACACTAGACAAAGAAGTGCGGCACCTCTTACTTTGACAAGATGAGCCTTGCATAGACCTCTAGCCCACAGTGCTGTGCAGCACTGAGCTCTGTACCAGTTTAATGCCAAGTCTCAGGTATGTGTGGCCTCTTGTTGGTGCCTGGCCTAGCCTGGCCCAGTCTTGACCTTTAGGTCTGCCTCCAAAATACACCTTAGTCAGACTCAGCTGTGGTCTGGGCCTGGCCTTCTAGAAATTGGGATGCCATGGCTGACAAAGGAAGGTCGGGTCATTGGATTGCAGGAAGTGGCCTTTTTTTGTTGGAGCAGTCCACATTTAAGGGCAGCTTTTCTTAGGGTGGTGGGAAGACATAATCAGCCCTCCTAATGGTCTGTGTGATATAATCAGGGCTACCCTAGCGATGGAAGGGTCCAGACATCCCTGTCTTCTCTCTACACCGTGATCACCTGTACCTGTACCTGAGGCTGGAGCCGCCCCCCCCCCCAGGCCACCTTGGAGAACTCTGCTGGTGAAGCATTTACTTGATGAGTTTGCCTTCTTGCTAGATACACAGCGTTCTGAGGACAATGCATTTTGTCTCAGGATCTCTGGAAGGACAGGAAGATGCTTTTTCCAGAGCCAGCAGTCAGGACAGCTGGGTGCCATCATCTAGAGAATTCCTCTAACCTCCTCCAGCCCACCTGCAAGGCCCCATTCTCTGACCTGGAAGAAGCAGTCCTCCTTGGTGATCCCAGCCCTGCCAATGGGGGTGTCTTGGGACAGCTTCTGTCCTTGTACAGTTGTAGCCCTCCCAGGAACGGAGTGAATAGCACAGGAGGGTCTGTCTACACATGTGACTGTCACCCTAACCAGCCCAGGACTGATGGGTTGAGGCCACTGCAGTCTCAAATCCTTCCATGAAATCTGGTCAGCTGCAAAAAGAAAGCAAAGCCAGCCTCTTTCTGCTGAGTCAGACATTGTATTAGTCTATTTTTCATTGCTATAAATGAAATAACTGAGGCAGCTAACTATAAAGAGAAGGTGCTTATATAGTGCACACTTTGGGAGGCTGCAAGTTCACAATTGGGCAGTGCCAATAGTCTGGCCTCTGTGAAGGACTAATGCGAGGTGGCATGATGGTGGAGCTGATGTGCGGGAGCTGGTGACGGTGTTGGAAACCAGGAAGCCAGAGGAGTGGAGGGGCCATGGTCACTGTCCTCCTAACAAACCCCTGGAGAGAACAGCTGGGGTCCCGTGAAGAGGCACTGTAATCCCTCTCTCCCCCCGCACCGAGCCCTAAGGACTTCTCACTGACTGCCATGCCTGAACACTGCCGCATTGGGGACCAAATCCCCGATATGTGACTCCTTAGGCAAAGGCTCAAACCACATGCAGACCAGAGCAGATGGGATTATCAACGCTACTTTGCTTTGAGGTAAATCTTTGAAATTCTTGAAATCTCCAAAACAAAAAAAATCATGGCCCAGGGCAGTTTGAGTCTTAATCTGCAAAGAACAGAAACCAATTTAGGATGTGTTTTTAAAATGAGTTATTTCTTCAGCTTAACTGACAGTGTCCATCCAGGCAGACTAGAAAATGGCTCTCAGAAATGCCACAGGGCAGCTTTGTATGGCAGGATCAATCCAGTTGCTTCTTGGTGACTGCTCAGGGAACCATGTTCCATTTGCCCTAGGTGGGTCCCAAACTGGACAACCAGTGCCAGCCCTGCTGACCCGTGTGTGCTGAGGGCCAGGAACGCAGCTCCCCAAAATGAGATCTGGTGCCGTTTTCCAGCTATGGTGGCACCAAGTTGGGTGCCAGAATGCTGTCAGCATCCTCCCTGGAGGACCCCCTTCCTTGCCATCTGTGAGCCCTTTGGACTTGCCCTTGCTCAGCTGACCCATCACTGTGAATGAAATGCCAGCAACATGGCCTGCTATTGTTTGTTTTCTTCTGACTTTCTCTAATTTGACATTATTTATGAGCAGCTTCAGCTCCAAGCAACACCAGGCCCCAGGACAGACAGCAGCCTGGCCTCAAGCTGTGGGACTCTGCATCCCCAGCACTCGAGCACAGCCACCGTAGTGTAGGCCCAAGCCTGAAACCAGCCAGTAATTGATACCAGGGGAATTGGCTTCACTTTCTGCCCCGAAGAGCTAATCCTGGGCAAGCTCTCAGCAGTAAGTCCAGTTGAAGCTGGAATGGCCCTGAAAGGACAGGGTGAGGCCATCAGTGGAAATGCTGAATAGTTTTGCACAGAGGGGCACGGGGCCTTTCTGTCCCTTGAGGCAGATGTCTCCCCACAATGTGGCACAATGAGACAACCTCACCGAGGCACACTGCAGTATGCAGCCACCCTCGGTGCTATCTGGAAACAGGAATCTTGTCACCAAGTCTTTGTCACTCTTTGTGCATGGAAAAGCCACAGGGAAAAGTGTCTGCTAATTGGGAGCCATAGCATTTTGTCCTGAACATCAGTTTTTAGGGAAACATTGTCCTAAAACATTGTGCCTTGGGCTTTCTTCCCCCAAACTCCCCCCTCTGTGGAGGAGACAGACTTGGTGATGAGGGACCTGAGTGCTCATCCCACTTCCCAGAGTACCCTTGCTTGGTCAGCATCCATCTTAATATATACGAGCCTTACTCTGTAATGTGTCCATCCTAGTTGTGCGGTAAAAATGGTTTGATTTGTTAGAAGTGGTGAGAGGCGTATGAGGAAAGGTGGGAGCTCTGTCTACAGCTCCATCAGGACTTGCTAAGGTCATATAAGATCCTCTATCCCAGCCTCTGGAAAAACTGGGGACAGCAGGTAGGAAGGACTAGACTTTGGATTCGGCGCTGTGCAGCGGACAGGTTCCTTCTGGGGCTGTGTCCCTACACTTGTCCTTACCTCTGTGCTGGGCGTCTCCTGTGGCCCCTTAGAGCGTGGTCTTCAGCAGCTGTGTGCCAGGCCCATGGTGTCTTGTACAAGACACAGAAGAGTCTCACCCACTCCCACCCACCCCACCATCTCCACTCAGCATCGGGCCGGGGATTTAGCTCAGTGGTTCCACCGCCTGCCTCGCAAGCTAAGGACCCAAGTTCAATCCCCGGTACCAAAAAAAAAAAACCAAACCACTCAGCATCCTTCTCCAGCCCAAAGATCTCTGTAGTGGTGAACCCGAGCCTCTGGCCTAGGCCGGGGAACGTGAGGGTCTCATAGACCAGTGTGAGCTGAGTGGGACAACAAAGGGGGTGGGTTTCAGCAAAGAAAAAGGCAACCAAAGTCAGGGAGGGAGCTGATCGCTAGGCAACCTGGAGTTTGTTTCCCTGGTAACAAATTCATGCACTGACGCTGTGGATGGACATCTTGTGGTGGTGGCTGTCAGCCCTTCATATGTATTAGATGTCCCCAGATTTCTGCCTTGTGCCTGGCCTTGTTCTCTTATGTGGTTACTTCTTAATTAACCACCTGAGCTTTTTGTAGTAATGTACTGCTTGATGAACCTTCCTGTCTACAGCCCTAGAAGTCAAATCAGGTGTTTGGCACCCTGCAGGCCCACTTGGTTTGGGACTGCCAGTCCCTGAGTCTGTACCTCCACTTTCTTATCTGTTAAGGGGACAGTGCTGTTACAGCCCATACCTCTGTGTGAGATTACTGCTTCCCTGGCTATGTGGTCTGGGGTTAGATGGGGCTCTCCAGGGTCCATTGGCCCCTGAGGAACCTTCCCCTATCAGTGTGAGGAAACCTCCCCTCTGCCTACCAAGGACGAGGAGGGAACATGGAGGGCATGTGTGGCCTCATGGGACCAACCTGTCGGTTAAGTGAACAGAATTGTGAGCCAAAGTCTTGCCTGCCCTCCAGCAAACCTCAGCCTTGCTGCGGGTTCCTTGTCTGCCCTATGAGTCAGGCCTCTGCCCTGCTGTTCTGCCACTCCGTGACATCCCTGCCCATGGCAGGAAGCTGAGCAGCACAGCCGGCCTGAGGTCCTTGAGCAGTTTCCCCTCACACCCCCCCCTCAGCCTGCTTTTCCACACCTAGTGCAGGTGCCAGGCTAAGGCTCTGCCTGTTTCCACGAGCAGCTTCTCTGAAGTTCCTGCAGAGCAAGGCACCTTCCCGTATCCCCTCTTGCTTCCTTGTGTGTCCTGTCATGTTTATTTTGAGGAGCAGTTGGTGGTGGTGCCGGTGGGGAGGCACCAACAAAGCTCTGTTCCTTGTGGGTGGTCTGGGGCCTCATACTGTCCCTGTTTGGTGTAGCTCCAAACAGGCCTCTGTTCCTCAGTCCCACCTGGCAGTGGAGTCAGCTCCTCAGTGGCTTTTCAAGCCCCAGTTCCCCTCCCGCCCCCCAGACCCAGCAGACAGGATTGTGCTTTGTAGAGCAGCTCAAATGCGCTGCACAGATGAGCTGAGCTTGCCAAAGAGCCTTGGTCTGGGAACCTCCCTTACCACACACCCTGAAGTGGGGAGCTGCATGGCACCCCACCTCTGCCTGCACAGTTGGGTCCTGCGAAGCCACCCCATGGGTGAGTGGAGAGGGACTGGGGGCTTCTCATGAGCATGGCCCCACTAGGGTCGGCCCCTGACAGCTGCCCTCAGGGGTAGCTTTTGGGGTGGTTGGGGTGTCAGCCCTCCCTGCAGTGTGCGGGCCGGGCCCCAGGGTCACGTTCACCTGCCCATCGCACCTTCCCTCTCTCCCCGCAGGTATCCGACCCCAGATCATGAACGGTCCCCTGCATCCCCGGCCCCTGGTGGCGCTGCTGGACGGCAGAGACTGCACCGTGGAGATGCCCATTCTGAAGGACCTGGCCACTGTGGCCTTCTGCGACGCGCAGTCCACACAGGAGATCCACGAAAAGGTGGGTGCACTCGGGCCAGGGGCAGCCAAGCACGCACTAGTACCACTGTTGTCCCCTCAGCAGTGCCCAACTCAAGCCTCCCCACCGTCCCTCCCGCCTTGCGTCAGCCCAGGTCACCAGCAAGGCCCCCAACAGCCGTGTCTCCCACAAGTAATCTCCTAAGAAAATCCTCTGCTGTGGGGGTTCAGGGTCGTGGGCTCAGAGGACCATACCCCACACCTCGGCGCCAGGGGGTCCGCAGGGTGGGCCCCTCACCTGTGCTCTGCCTCCCCGCTGCAGGTGTTAAACGAGGCCGTGGGTGCTATGATGTACCACACCATCACCCTCACCAGGGAGGACTTGGAGAAGTTCAAGGCCCTGAGAGTGATCGTTCGGATCGGCAGCGGCTATGACAACGTGGACATCAAGGCTGCTGGCGAGCTTGGTGAGTGTGTGGCCATTGCTGGGTGGGCTGGGAGAAGGGAAAGGGGACAGAACAGCTGCTCTGGCTGTGGGAGGGTGGCCGCTGAGGGGGTCTCTGAAGGAGCATAGGGAGCATGGTCTTGGTGCCCAGAGCTCACAGCAGCCGCAGTCTAGAAGGAGCTGGAAAAGGGCAGTGGACTCCTCATGGAGTGGAGGGTGTGGGTGTCCACACGTCACCCTGATCTCCCTCCATATGGGTGGGGAGGACTCCTGTTTGGGCTTCCTTCAGCCTTGGGATGGAGCCCTCTTTCCCCGGGCTGCTGTCATGAAAGAATCTGGTGCTTGTGCGCTGGGAGAGCAGCACTGGCGGTCATAACCTGGGTCAGCACCAGAGCAGCCAGACCACTGCCCAGCACCCCTGCCCAGCCTGAGCCAGTGGGCTTTCCAAGGAAGACCAGAGGCAGCAGGCGGAATCCCAAACACAAAGGCAAAGCTCCTTCCTGTTTCTCACACCTGCGAGGCACACTGGCCTCTCTGTCCCATGTCCCACATGGGGTTGGTATGCGCTGTTTGCAGAGAGGTACAAGATAACTCACCATTGGCCCTCGAGAAAGGGCCAGGAAGGTCACAATCCCTGCTCTACCTTGTGAGCGTGGAAGAGCTCAAACTCATGAGACTGGTGACCTAGCAGGCCCTTCTGCAGTCTGTTTCCCATCTCATCCAGCCAGGTGGGTGCGCTGCCTCCTCACACAGTCCCAGCAACTGTGCCTGAGCTACAGTACTAGAAGTGTGTGCCAGTTCTACCTGCTGCCCAGGAATACTGCCTGCCATATTTGCAGCCGAAGTATCTAGTGGGCTCTAGCTTTCTTCTGCAGTCCGAGCCTGGGTCGGTATGTGGGAGGGGTATTTCTTTTAGTTTTTGGACTCCCACTGGCATGCAGGGCAGCAGCTGATACTTGAACCACAAGATGAGCGCTGGTGGCAGGAGCAGGTCAGCAGGTTGGGGTCCATGGTGCTGGGAGTCTGGATGCTTGGGATGGGGCTGCTCCTTCCCTCGAATCCTACTTGGCAAGTGGCTCAGGAAAACGATGAAGGGTCACATGGCTCCCTCCAGGAACCTGGGAAGTGGCAGCTTCACGTGTCCCTTGTCCCTTTTACCTCCACCTGGTGCCCTTGGCCTGACCAGCCGCAGCCTCTGGTGAGCCCCTTTGGTGCAGCAAACTCAGGTGGATGAGGCTCTTCAGAGATAAGTTTAATGTAAACTAGAATTTTCCATTTTTTTATTCCTGGCACAAGCGAGGACATTTTTAAAAACAAGTATGTTCTTTGTGCTCTTCATCCAGCCAAGACTTTCAAGATGAACAGTGGAGAAAAGGGCTCTCAGGTCCGCTGCCCTCACACACCTCTCGTTTCTCTAACACGTCCGCCCCTCACAGCACAGCCTGGCCAAGTGCCAGCCCCATGTTTGTGTGAGGTGTGAACATGACAGCCTCATTCGGAAGACCAGACAGGCTATGTCCATAAAAGAGCCTCAATATGCAATATACCCTACACCCCCAAGGAAGGCCAGAGTGGTAGTGAGGGGTATCCCCAGAGCTATGAGACCCTAGCTGGGGCTGGGGAGTGCAGCTTTGAAAAGCATAAAAGGGATGTGACCAGTGGCAATTGATCCCAGGCCCATCTGATCAGGCAGCTGCTTGAGAGACATCTGCTAGGCCTTTTGAAGGGCAGTTTTCAATTGTGTGACCTGGAGAAGGAAAATGAGCCTCTGTCCAAACATCTTTTGTCTCCAATGCATTTCCCAAGTCTTTTTCAGTGAGCAGATCCCTCATGGTAAGGGTGGAGAGCAGGAGGTGGCTGCAGGCACGAGCTTCTCCCTAAAGGAGTTTCTTAACGTGCTGAAATGGGAAAGCAGGGCCCCGTGTGTCATAGGAGACCTCACTGGCCTCGTGTGGAGCTTTCAGCCCTGGAAAGTGAAAGGCAACACTAAAGGCAGGAGCAGGCTCAGAAAGCCTCTTTGGTCTGCGTTGCAGCGAAGAACAGTACCTGGAACAGGTAGAACAACTCAAGTTCCTCCCCAAGAAGCAGAGGGAAGAGCCAGGCATGCCTGTAATCCCAGCACTTGAGAGTCTAAGGCAGAAGTATTGCTGCCAGTTTGAGCCCATCCCGAATAACATAGCAAGTTCAAGACCATCCTGAACCTACATCTTGAGACCCTGTCCCAAAAAACCCCAAAGTAAACAAATAAGCAGAGGAGGTCAGAAGCCTCAAGGCCTGGTGTGCCCTTCACAGTGCCTACCATTCCGTCAAGCTCCTTTATCTGGTTCTCAGCACTGAGAATGGCAAGAAAAGCAGCTCTGCTATTCGGGCCTCTCTTGTTGGGGGACAGGCTTCCCTAGTCCTTGAGATGGGGAGGCTGGCAGCCTTCCTTTGTGGGTATTAGAACCACACTTCCTATGGCCTTTGAAAGTTACCTGAGCGGTAACCTTCCCCTTCCTGGAACTCTGACATGGTTGCAAGCCTATGTTGTTTCTTGACAAAGATGGCACCACCAGTGGGCAGGCAGGCAGGCCAGGTCCTCTCCCTGTCGACACTGATAGCAGCACCCACACTCGCTCCCAGTAGTGTGCAGGTTCCCAGGCCTGGGCTTTGCCCCTCCAAATAGACACTGGAGCAGAGGAGCAAGATCACCAAGTACTGTCGTGAAGACTAAGCAGGCAGCCTGTCTCGGTCTCCCTCTCTGCACCCAGTATCAGTCTCATCTCCAAGGCCAGCTGGATCATGGCAGAATCCACTCTGCCATTCACTGCCAGTCCTTTCTCTGAGCTTTAGCCAATGTGAAAATTGTCCTAGCTGACAAAGGTTTCTTAAACCTGTGGCATCTGCCTCAGTCTATCCAGAGTCTAATAATAACGTGGCCTGTGACCAAGCCTGAAATCCTGGGATGAATCATTTCCAATGCTCTGGGCCTGTGTTCTGTAAGAATATTGACACACACACACCAGCTTGTGGGAACATGGTCAGCCTCCATCCCAGCCAAAAATGAAAAATGAGGTCCCTTGGCCCAAAGGAACCCTCAACATCAGGTAAGTGGATTGAGCTGCTCACAGTAGTCCACTCTGAGGTGCCTGGTCTTTAGCCCCTGCACCCCTAGAGTCCTGCCAGGGTGAGGCTCTGGTACCCACTGGCCTTTTGTTTTTCCAAGTCCTTCTTGGGGACTCAGTGCAGGCCTGAGAAGAAGCTACCTGGGCCCAAGCTCAGGCAAGATGAGCGGGTGTCAGCCAAGTACTGGATCTCCTTGGAGATGGATGTGTGTGCTAAGGACCCATGCATGTACTGACCACTTGCCCAAACCCTTTATCTTCTAGGCAATGGAGCAGGTCTCTTTGGCCACAAAACCACATACTGGCTAAATAGGCTAAACTCTGCCTCTACCCACCCCTGTGCCTACAGCCCCCGCCCTGGGACTTCCCTGCAGAATCTGAGGGCTTCTCATCTCGGCACTGTGCCCTTGTCCTTTTCAGGGATCGCTGTGTGCAACATCCCATCTGCAGCCGTGGAAGAGACGGCCGATTCCACCATCTGCCACATCCTCAATCTGTACCGGCGGAACACATGGCTGTACCAGGCACTGCGGGAAGGGACGAGGGTACAGAGCGTGGAACAGATTCGAGAGGTGGCCTCAGGAGCAGCCCGAATCCGTGGAGAGACACTGGGCCTCATCGGCTTTGGTATGTGCCCTTGGCCCAGCCCCAGCCCATAGTCCTGGCCTTCCCCGAAGGAGCCAGGGATGGCCTGTTTCTCAGAATTCAATCACTGTGTGCAGGTCAGAGGTATTTTTCCTGGGCAAGGCAGGGCCAGTGCCCCTTGCCCAACTGCCAAGAGGTCAGAAGCAAATCTGGAACTCACCCAGAGGTGAGTCTGAGCTGGTTGTAGAAAGGCTCTGTCAAGGGCATGCATGGGTGACGCAGCAGGTTGGCATTATCTGCAGTTGGGCGTAGTGACTGCCTAGGTAATGGCAAGGCTGAGGTCTAACCTGAAGGCTCTTAGATCCCCGGCTGATGTGACAGTGGGGTGTACTGAAAGATTCAAGCCAGGGGGTGGCACAGTCAGGCCATCAGCTTGGAAAGCTCCCCTGAGTGCAGCCGGAAATGATCCTCCTATACCTGGCTGTCGTCTTGGAGACACGAGCCAGAGTTCCTGAGAGGAACTCAGCCGGAGCCATAGGAGGGAAACTACGGAGTGGATGCGGTGTGTGGATGAGAAGCCACTGAATGTCGTGACTGTCGGTCACACGGGGGCTCAGGAGTCCTCACCCCGGCTCACTGCTATCCGAGTTGTCACCAAATCGCAGCCCTGCTTCTTAGCAGCTCTGTAACCTTGCGGAAACCATGTGAACTCCTTGCTTCAGTTTTCTGGTGTGTAAATAGGGAATGGGGGGATGCACAGTCACTACCTCTTTAAACTCCAAGAAGGGGAGAATTACATGGGACAGGAAGTTCAGTTCTGGGAACAATTCACTCAGCCTTTACCTCAGAGCTCCGGCTTTCACAGTAAGTGTTAAGGGTCAGGACGTGGGTGAGGGCCAGTGTCCCCTTGGCCTTCCTTGGGACTTAAGGGCAGCGTGAATGAGGCAGACTGTGCCAGATGCTTCCCTGCCCATTTGCTTGGAAACCACACTTGGGGAGCTGTTCTTTTTTAGCAAAACATTTACTGGTACATTCTTAGATATATCTAATAACACTCATCATAGGGAATTTGCACCTGTACATGATATATCCTGCCTCTTCTTTTTTTTTCCTTTCCCCCTCCTCTCAAGCCTTTCTCCCTTCCCTATATGCAAAAGCTTTGTTTCCATTTTTCCCTTCTATTTTTACTTTTTTTTCTTCTCCCTTCCTTCCTTTCTCCCAATATCTATTATATATTTTAGTCCTTTTTTCCACTTTCACCTTCTCACACCAGAGAAATGATATGGTATTTAAAACATGTGTGTCCGATTTATTTCACTGAAGAGTATGGTCTCAAGGCCCATCCATTTAGCTGTAAATGTCTGATGCTCATCCTTCTTTGTGGCAGACTAGTACTCCACTGTATAAAAAAACCCCACATCTTCTTTATCCATTTGTCGGTTGAAAGACATTTGGGCTGTTCCCAAGATTTAGCTATTACAAACTGTGCCACTATAAAAGACCCAATCCAAAAATGGGAAGCTATTTTTAACTTTGCACCTCAATTTTTTTTTTTAAGGTATCAATCTGAAATACTTTTATTTTTACTTTGGAATAACTGAAATTCCCAGCTCAGCCCCTTTTTCTCCTCTGCTGGGGATTGTACCCAGGGCCTTCACATGGCAGGGAAGCACTTTACTACTGAGCTGTACCCCCTAGGCCCAGAAAGCTATTCTTCAAAGCCATTGTACGAGGCCCTCATTGTGCTTTTTGTTTTTTAAGAAATGCAGGTGCAGGCTGTGCATGTGTTCTAGCACCCTCTGCTGTTGCCCCGTTGGGCCTCCTGTGTCTCTCTCGGAGGTGATTCTCAGATCTTAATCCATCTTAAGCACCCCTGTGCCTGGGGTAGCGCGAGCAGCCCAGCCAAGTCGTGGGACCTCACAGCAGAGCTCTCGTTCCAGTGGCTGGTGACTGCATCACACTGGGGTGTGTCTGGCTGTACCCTTGCCTTCCAGCTTTCAGAGGCCGTCTCAGTGCACCGAGGGCAGCCCCCTTCTTCACTCCTGCTTCCTGTAGCCTTCAGCTTCACTAGTGCTGCAGTCTTCCTGGGTCCCATACAGATCATCATCTCTCCTTAGCCTTCCAGAAGAATAGTGGCAGGACAGAAAGAGCCACGGGCATAGTATCCCCCATAACCACCAGAGCCACCTTGTTTCAGGGATTAAAAGCCTATGTTTGCTTCAGGCTCTGCTGAGAAGCAGCAGCTGAACCTGGAGCGTTGGCAAGAGGCTCCTGAGCCCAGCTCAGGCTGCACGTTACAGGGGAGGACTGGTGATGGGCCGTTTCCCCGCCAGAGGGCTTCCTAAAGGAATGGAAGAGAAAGGCAACCAGTGGTATTAATGCTTTCAAAAAATCCCCAGATAGTTGGATTCTCTTCTCCAAGACTGCTTTCACATTAGGGTTTCAGTCCCAAGATCTCACGTTAAAGTAGAAGACGGTGAAAAGGCGGGCCTTTGAAAAAAACCACTGAGAAGGAACTCCCCGTCCCCTTCACCACACCTGTTAAGCCTGACTCTTCACTGTGGGCCACTTTTCCACGCCCCCAGGGCCCTGGATCTGCAGAGGAGGAGTCACAGGTCCAAGCTGGCAGAGGTCAGGAGGGTAGCTGAGGACCCTAGCGTGGGTGAAAGGGACATTTATCCTATTGAGTGTGGGCTCTCGGCAGCCCCATCATGAGTGCCTGATCCCGTGTTTCATGTACAGAGGTATCTCGTTCACAAACCTAATTCTTTCCATGATTCTGGTCACAAACTGAGTTGGACAAGAACTGAATCAAATTTCCCCATAAGGTCAACATTGATCCTGACCATTGAATTTGACTCTGTTCTCATCCAGTTCGGTTTGCCTCCAGACTCATGGAAGGAATTAAGTTTGTGAACCAAGGTACCACTGGTCTCTCCAAGACAGATCTTCTAGCCTAGCTGCTGCCACGCTTGCCTGTTCTCTCCCATTGTCCAGTCCTGCCAGTTTCTTTGCCCCAGCACTGGAGATGTGGCTCTCATTCCTGGTCTGCTGCAGCCATGTGATGGCATTGAGATGGATGACATGATGGGTAATGGCCCACTAATTACATTGCCGCTGTTCCTCTTGGTTAAAACAGCCTCACTGAACCTTTGCCTCCAAACCATGGCATTGTTTCAGTTTTGCCCAATTAGATCAAGCTATCAAAGGGGGGGGCATTTACCAGCAAGTTGCCCCTCAAACACCAACTTCCTGTTTGAAAACCTATGTCTCCCCTTCCTTTCTCCCTTTCTGCACATTTGAACAAGGGTTTTGGATAAAGATTCAGTTTGAGTTTCCCGAGTGAGCCCCAGCAAGCATCACTCAAGCATTTTGTTTTCAAGCTGAAAACTGCTCTGGAAAGCAGAAGGTGTCACCAAGTGGATGTGTGCAAATACTGGCCACTGGGAAGTCGAGGACGCCTTCTGGTCCTGTTAAATGATGTCCCTTATAACTTGTGGAATCTCAGGCTGCATGCTGGAGCTGGGCTTGGGAGGAAGGTGCCTACCCTGCCTCTCAGCCAGAGCGATTTCACACACCCATTATGTGCTCAGGCTGGCCAGGCATGGTCACTTTGGAACACTGCACCACCTGCAGGAGGCAAACCCAATGGTAACTGGGTCAGAGAACATTCCCTGTCAGATACTGATAGTAATAAAGCAATGATGTTCATTTTGAGAACTCTGCTATGCAAACAAAAATATGGGGACCTAGGAATGCCAGAATACTGGTGATGGTTAGACCTGGGGAGGGGTACAAGAGGCTCATTAGAACATTCTAGCTGAGTATTCATTTGAAAATGTCCCTAAGTTTAAAAACAAAAATTCCTGCTATAGCAAATATAAGCACGCACTGTGGTCCTAACCTAGGACACCTGTGCAAAATTTGGCACGTGACCGGGGGCAGGGCCGGTGCTCACCTTGGACACCACTATGCTTGGACACAGTTACTCTGTCACCGGCTGCCAGCAGGGCTGTTGACCTTAGGTCAACTTACGACGTGCCGGGACAGCAGGATGGAGCAGGTAGCAGCAACACACAGGGCACCTGCAGGAGGCCTCACTCACCTAGACATTCTGTCTCTGCACAGGTCGCACGGGGCAGGCGGTTGCTGTTCGAGCCAAGGCCTTTGGATTCAGCGTCATATTTTATGACCCCTACTTGCAGGATGGCATAGAGCGATCCCTGGGCGTGCAGAGGGTCTACACCCTTCAGGATTTGCTGTATCAGAGTGACTGTGTCTCCTTGCACTGCAATCTCAATGAACATAACCACCACCTCATCAATGACTTTACTATAAAGCAGGTAATTTGAAAATACATGTCCTCAAACCCTACAAGAGTGATGGCAAACCTTTTAGAGGCCAAGTGCCCAAATGGAAACCCCAAACCCACTTATTTATTGCAGTGCCAACACTGCCCCTGTGTGTGCTATTAGACAGTGCTCAGCTGTTGGGGCAACTAGGTTCACATGCTGACAGATAGGGCTCCACGTGCCTGCTGTGGCATGCATCCCATGGATTCACCACCACTGCCCTAGAGGCATCCTTCAGAAGATATCACCTGAAAAAAGAAAAAAAGATAACACCTGCAGTGGTCACAAGAAGGATGAGAAATGGTTCACGGACACAGTAGAGAGCCGCAGAGAGTCCCTGGAACAAATCAGTTACTGAAGGAAGGAGGCAGGCATGGAACACTACAGGAGCCAGCCTATAACCCAACTGGTTCCCATTCTGCGGCCAGTCATGCTTCAGTCAGGCAGGGCCAGCCTCCAAGAGCAAAACGTCAGATGACAGCCATAGCTCCGACCTTCCCAGCTATCACCAAGACTTCCTGTTGCCTTCATACCACAGACCAACAGAATTCCTAGTTTGCAGCTTTCTTCTTTAAGCCTTGGTTCCAGAGTCTCCTGCAGCAGCATAATATAACCAGCTTCTCTTTCCCTTCACAGATGAGGCAAGGGGCATTCCTAGTGAATGCAGCCCGCGGTGGCCTGGTGGATGAGAAAGCCTTGGCCCAGGCCCTCAAAGAGGGCAGGATACGAGGGGCAGCCCTTGATGTGCACGAATCTGAGCCCTTTAGGTATGTGTGTGGCCCAACTCCTACCAGGATGTAGGGCCCATATCTATACCTGACCTTTGAACTTGTGGCATTCTCCAGACAAATCCCTGAGTAGGCTTCTGGAGATGATGTCTAGTCTCTGCTTTTCTAAAGACTGCAGTGTTCTCTTTTTTTTTTTTTTTTTTTTTTGGTACCAGGGATCGAATTCGGGTCCTTGCGCTTGCATAGCAGGCGACGAAACCACTGAGCTAAATCCCCGGCCCAAGACTGCAGTGTTCTCTTTAATTATAGAGATCAGAAGGTCCCCAGAGAGCATCAGAGAAGGGAAAGGCAGAAACATCATGGTAGTTTTGATCTGTAGGTAGCTTCTATACCCTAGAACCATAGTTTTTGTCAGAGGAAGGCAACCTTCAGTAGAATTGACTTTTCCTTTCCTGTCTGACCCATCCATGTGTTTTTAGTCTTTTATGATTATTCTAAAAACTCTAACCCTTATGAAACATGACATAGAATGCCCCCCTTATATCTATGTAGCTCTTATTCAGATAGCCAAGAGTTCTGTTTTTGAGTAGTGCAGCAGTTGTGTTAAACTCTTCCCATTTACTGAATGTTTCCATTTACCTAGCTTTGCTCAGGGTCCATTGAAAGACGCACCAAATCTCATCTGTACTCCCCACACGGCCTGGTACAGTGAACAAGCATCCCTGGAGATGAGGGAGGCAGCTGCCACTGAGATCCGCCGAGCAATCACAGGTGAGCCCCTGTGCCCCAACCCAGCTATAACCTGGCTGCCTCAAATGAAACCTCGGCCACACAGCAGAACTACTTCTACCCCTGCTGGTTATACCTGTAACTGGCTGCACAAGTAGTTTTTAAGAGTCAGGTTAAATTTTGTATGAGCTGGACTCTATGTATATAATCTCGAGTAAATTTGAGAGAGGGAGCCAGTTCCCTTTCTCTCAGCCAGGGTAAGTTGTAAACTACAAAGGGTGGGCCCAGAGGCAGGAGGGAGGCTTATTTCTGTTCTAGCTGATGGCAGTTGTTTCCCTTCACTACAAGCCACCAAGTATAATATTGAACTTGCTGTGACCTTAAAAATGTACATACAATTTAACTCTCTCACTCTAGGACGCATCCCAGAAAGCTTAAGAAATTGTGTCAACAAGGAATTCTTCGTCACATCAGCTCCTTGGTCAGTAATAGACCAGCAAGCAATTCATCCTGAGCTCAATGGTGCCACATACAGGTGAGAAGAGGAACTGACTTTGCCTCACCAGCAGCATTCATGGGGAGAAAAGCCCAAACCTGGGGAAAATGGATCTAACCTGGGCACCAAAGAAAAATCAGCCGCCTCAGCGGGAATTGTATACATTGTCCTCCCTTATGCTTTTTCTAATGCCTAATTTTGATAAACACGACTTTAGGAAAACAGAATTAGTTATGAAATGCAGGAAGAAGTTCTTAAAGAGGGTTGGGATGAGGCTTGGATAGCATGCAGGGTAATTACCCAGATTGGACTGACCAGAGTGCTGGCAATTATCTTTCACTGGGGAGGCCGTTATAAAATCAGGAGCGTTCTTACAAAAAAGGTAAAGATGAGATCAGAAAATCAGTAATTTTACTTTCTAATTTGAAATCTGTCCAAGGAAAATTCTGACAATTTTAAAAATCAACTAGACACTATCCTATGCACACATAAGAGATTGAATATAGGCAGAATTTGGGCAGTGAGGGAAAAGAGTGTGCCTGTAGTGGGGGTGTACACAAACAAGGTCTGGTAAATGTCGTAGTTTCATTTGTGGAAGTTTCCATGGCTCCTCCCCCCATCCCCCAATATTATTGGATTCCCGGAAAGAGAGATCTTTCGTGCATAAAGGAGAAGAGATGGATATAGCCTGGAGTCCAAGGAGGAAGTGTTTGACTTACCCTAAATCAGAGCTTCCCAATCCTGGCTGTACTCACATTCAGGGCCAGTTCGTTCTCTTGCAGAGACTTGTCCTGCGCACTGTGGGCTGTTTAGCAGTATCCCAGGCCTCTACCTGCCAGCTGCCAGAGGCCAGAATCACCTCCCGTTCCCAGTTATGACAACTGAAAGTGTCACCAGACATTCCCAGGAATGTCTGCTAGGAACCATAGGCATAGTGTATATAATGAAGGCTGAATGGGCTATGCTGCTGCCTTCAGATCATGGGGCTGTTTACATTTCATTCTTGTCCTTATAAACACAATCTCATGTTGTTGGCTCATCTTTAAGGACTCAGCTGCATTTGTTCAGCTAGTCCAATAGTGGCCAATCTATAGCACTCAACTTACTGTGTTAAGACAAAAGATGTTAATGTAGGCAGGGGTTTTTTTCCCCCCTGAACTATACCACCAGTATTCAGGTTTAATTGCAGTGCTGGCACTTTGCGGTAAATAAGTGGGTTTTAGGTTGCAGTTTGGGCACTCGTCTCTGAAAGGTTCATCATCACTGAGCTAGTCCAAGATTCGTAGGCCCTCCAGAACATTACATGGGGCTCTAAGGGAGGGGCCAGAGCTCGAAAGGACAGTTCCAGTCAAAGTGCTGGGGAAAGCCTCGAGATTTCTGACCAGTTTGTTAAACTGGCAGGCCAGAATCGGGGAGATGCTATCCTCATTACATCAGTTTTAAGAAGGGTTTGACAAAGTTGTACTTAGAACACTCATTAAAAAGCATCTGCCTCGTAATTATGTTTAAATATATTGAATTGTATTTGTTCTGTGCCTTAGAACCATTTACTCTGTTGGTGGCTAATGCATATATACCCAGGCCCTGTCCTCCCTACAATGTAGAATAAGGAACACAGCACCAGCCAGACTAGGAATCCTGCTGTGTGCAACTGGGAGCAAAGCCTTCTACACCACAAGTTTCTCACATTTTCTGGAGGCTGTAATTCTTAGAACAAAGTGCCAGCCAGCATGGTTTCGTTGGGGGGTTTTTTGTGTGTGAGAGGTTTACCAGACTAACAACTTCTGCTTGTGTCCTCACATGGCTGAAAAGGGCCAGAGAACTAACTGGGGGTTGTTATCATAATAGCACAGATTCCATTAGGGATTAGTTGTTTTCTGTTGAGGGAGCAGATTTTTGCCTTTTGTTTTTGTTGATACTGGAAATTCAGCCCAGAGCCTTGAACATGCTAGGCAAGTGCTTACTATTGAGTTATATCCCCAACCTTTTCAAAATTTTATTTTGATGGTGTCCTGCTAAGTTGCACAGGCTAAACGAAAAGTTTCTCAGCCTCTCAAGTGGGATTACAGGCATACACACCAAGGTTGATCTGCCAAAGGATTGGAATTTGAATAGTCCTTAACAGCACATATAACTTTCTGAGATTTCCTGTTGGGAAATCATGTCTCCAAGCTTCGAGCCTATTTTCTACAAAATATGTTTTTCAAGCAGTACAATATCCACAGACATTAATGATTAGTATAGGCACATAGTTTCTCTAAAAGCTACAAAATTATTGGCCTAGTGATTAGACTTCTTAATGAACTAAGTACAGGTGTTTCATATTTTAAAAACTTCCATTTCTCCTTATTTTGGGTGTAGGGAGGACAACACACTGTCCCATAGTAATGAAAAAGACAAGCCCAGACACCGTCCTGAACTCACAAGGCTTATTCCCATGTGCTCCTCAGGTATCCACCAGGCATTGTAGGTGTGGCCCCGGGAGGACTTCCTGCAGCCATGGAAGGCATTATCCCTGGAGGCATCCCGGTGACTCACAACCTCCCCACAGTGGCACATCCTTCCCAAGCTCCCTCTCCCAACCAACCCACAAAACATGGGGATAATCGAGAGCACCCCAACGA